TGGTGTTTAACGAGTATGTACTGCTCTAAATTATAATTATTGTTCATTTGTTTCTCTAAAACAATCTGTAAACATTAGAGGAGGAAAAGGCGCTGATCCTCATCATATAACTGACACCAGTGAGTAGGCTGCTCACACACTCCACCCAACAGAGACACTGGTCCGTCCTCGGCTCTTAGTTCCCTCATTGCTATTCCGTGATTTTACTTTCCACGTTATAATCAAATTATTTAAATTTTTTCTGGAAATATTTCCAGAAAAAAAATCATTTTATATCTCTGAAACTAAGAAAATACTCAAATCTCTCATTTCTCTCACACAAGTTATTAATTTAGAGAAAGAGTCAGATGAATGTTAGATAAAAACTAAAAGAGAACATTAGGTTTTAATGTCTTACAGCCCTGGTGTTCTCAGATAAATATCAGTCATTCATAAGAGAAATGAAATGTTGCAAGTTACACATCCTGATTTCTTATTCCCATTTAGTCAATTTTTACAAAAATAGGATTGTGAAAAGCAGAAGAGGAAAGTATTAGCAAATTTAATGAGAAAACCCTCCATCGTCCCCACTTGACTTGGTGACAATAGTTTCTCGATTCAAAATATTATGGAATACACTGTATTTACATTTCCGGGAATGTGAATTCATTGGAACTCATGTGTTGCTGCAGCACACCACATTTATCTGTAGTGTTCTAGACAGAGGTCACACAGTGGCAAGGCTGTTAACATTTAGATAAAAAGGAAATGTAGTTTGAATAAATGACCTTTAAAAAGGTACATTTACGCAAAAAAAAAAAGTTTTTGGTCATTTAAGTGGCAACACTGTATATAATAATATAGTTGATTCCCTCTGTCCCCTCGCATTCCTATTCTCAAGCACACTCTCCAGTTGGTAGTGTGACTGACTCATGGAGTCACAGCACACACATCTACCCCTTTAATTGCACCCGTATTTGCAGTGACATAGTTGGATAGAGTGTTGAAGTGACACCTAAATTCTAGGAAGCAAATGAGCAAAACTTTAAAAAAAAAAAAAAAGGATCACTGACCATTAGATAAGACTGTGGTCACATTAGACAGCTTCCAGAAAGAAAAAAAAACACATTTGAGATCTGCACAGTACAGCTGCACTCACACGATACACTTTAAAATGGTTGTTCTTTAACCTGTCCAAGTGTCAGGGAATATGAGAATTAAGTAAAGGTTTGAACAGTAAATAGCAGCCCACATTGACATAAGTGGAAAATTCAAAAAAGGAGGACCATTAGCCTGTTGTTTTCTTCTCCTCTTTACTGTTTTTAGTGTCCTTTAGTGTGACTCCCCAATCATTATGCAAAATAGCAGCAAAGTGTGACAACGCACGGCACTGAAGTATATGGGTAAGTGTGTCCTGACAGATAGCAGTGTCAGTTAATAAACAAATACAAAAAGTGCACACACACGGCGTGGGGCTGTATATAAAATATAGATGTAAGAACAGTATTAAACTCAATTAATTGACCGATTTAAGACATTTTTAATAAACAGCATAAATAAATGAACTTACCCACCATAAAGGGTACATTTTATTACCACCTGGAAAGAATCTGAGCGAATATCTTGTATGTTAAATACTGTTTTCAGAAACTGGTTCAAATGGCTAGATATTTTTTGCAATCTTAAAATAATAAATAAAACATAAGTAATAACAAAATAAATATTATGAACCCCCGTAGTAGCTCTGTGGACCACCTCAGCTCGGTGAACCGCCTGTTGAAGACATCTGTTTATCTGAGTAATCACAATGGCCTAACTTGTACCGTATGTGAAGTTTTTGTGGCAGATTTTAAGATAATGAGTTCAAAACAAAAATATTTGCCAATAGTCCATAAGGAATGGACTCAGGAATACCTCCAGAAGTTAATGTGTAATGAGCTTCATGTTTAGTTTAAGATGGTCGTATGAACAACAAGCAGAGTTGCACAAAGTCTGATTCAGTTCAGATTAATCGCCAACAAAAGCTTGATGCGTCGTTCATCTGTTTTAGTTTTAAACGGCTCGAAACCCCAGATAACGTCAAACATTTTTGTCTGGGAGAGACCTTGCTAATGCAGTATAACTACCTTGGGTCCTGTTGCTGTTCCCAGTATGACCTTGATGTTTGACCTCTCACTTGAAACCATGATAACAGGATTTATTTTTTTCCCCACTTTTTTAATCTCACACTTCTAGCCTATACATAAAAATAATAATCACAAGGAACGTTGGTCAGTAACTGTCAGGTGGTAAGAACTTGGCACCAAAAAAATGTACACACGTTTGTTAGTTTTATTTATTTATTTGTTTTCACCAAAAAAAAAAAAAAGTGTGTGTCATGGAAACTTGAAGTGTTTATGATATAATATCTATAAATAATTTCATAAATAGAGCAGATTCACAGAATTTAACTTATGCTGCTTGGCAACAGACGGTCTTTCATACATTCATAAGGATCACAGTACAGTGTAATAGTAAAAATGAAATTAGACACAGTGAACAGGAAAAATGTTGCCTTTGAACCAGTGAGAAATAAATCAGTGATTCTGCTAATGTAAAATTGTGATGTTCTAAGTTTAACTTTTTGGGCTGTTGTAGAAACAAACAATCATTTGCTTTTTCTTTGCCGTCATTGTTTCCAAACACCATTTTTATCCTTTTTTTTAACATCTGCAGACATCGGATGCACATCTCCACCATGTACGAGCACTGTATACGGATGCAACATTTGTCACAGGAGTTTTTGATGCTGCAGCTCACCGAGGAAGAGTTTCTCTGCATGAAGGCCTTGCTTCTCTTCGGCGTTAGTAAGTTACATACTTTTTATGGAACAAAAACTCCTTGAGATATCTAAATACTGTAAGCTTCACAGTTTCCAATGTGCATAGGTCTGTCAGATGTCCCAAAATATCTCTGATACCTGTTATGATCAGGAAGGACAATGCACTTTATTTGGCAAACAAATCACAGAAAGTCATTTTCTGGATTTGCTGGAAACAAAGATGTGAGGCTGAGCGATCTGCTGAACTTAAAATGTGTTTTCCTAATTTTTCTAGTTCCTGTTGAGGGTTTGAAAAACCAAAAGTTCTTCGATGAACTCCGTTCTACCTACATAAAGGAGCTCAGCCAACTTATTAACTGTCGACTCACAACCAATTGTTCTCTGAGGTTCTACCAATTGACCCGGGTCCTGGACTCAATCCAACTGGTGAGGAACATTTCTACATTGTTCTTTTATTTGCATATTTGTTCTTCCTTTATGCATTTCTTTCTACAACTGACTATAATAGTATGTAACTCCACAAAACATGGCAAAATAATAAGCTTGACTGTGTTACTACCAAAACAAGTAATGGCTATGAAGGCTAAACAGCTTGTGTCCTCACAAGACCAGATAGAAAGAAAGCAAGGTCGAGGGCTATGGAGGTGGGACTCAGCCTGGTGTGACATGAAGAGAAACTGAGTAGGAATCACATTTAATAAACAGTGCAGAAAAAAACACATTTGAACTTATGTCACATGTTTGTGGTTTTGCTCTTGTTTCAGACGGTAAAGCAGCTCCATCAGTTTGCTTTTGACCTTTTCGTCCAGGCTCAGTCACACCAAAGCAGGGTCAACTTCCCAGAGATGCTTGGAGAAATCATTTCTGTGCATGTACCGAAGATGCTGACTGGTTTGGCCAAACCTCTCATGTTTCATGAGCAGCAGGAAGGTGGCTTTAACATGCGTACGTAATGTCATTTCTCCTCAAAGAGCTATTCACTGTGTCTTCTTGTGTAATTTTATTGCTTAAGTTTTCGCTCTTCTTAGTTGTAATTGGCAGACAAAACTGACTGAACTGTTATTACAAATATGAACCCAACTTACAGGTCAGGAGTGAGTACGCTGGGCCAAAAGTCACAGGAAAAAATGGTTTAAGTGAAGGCTAGAGGTTGGAGCAAAATTTAGACTGTTAGCTATTTATTTATATATTCTACTTGGGCAGATAGAGGAGTTCAACAAACTCAACTTTCACAGAAAAAAAAATCAAAGGACACGTAGAGTCCATTCTACAATTTAAAATGTAACAAATGTTCAACGGCACCAAGCACACTTAGGTTTTTTTAACTTTGACTATTAACCCATGTTATGTAGTGGTACATTCAATACTTTTAATGTTAACTTGTGTAAAATACAATTTTAAACTTGTTTATGTTTATATTGGGGTTTTCCTTGGAGATAACATGGCAGCCCTGTAAACAGTGCTGTACTTAGGATTTAAAAAAATACTTTTTAGGAGTACTCGTGGTCAAAAAATGACAAAATCTGCACAATGTGAAGAATATGCCATTCAAAAAGGCTCAGGGGAGCTGGGCAATCACAGGAGCGTTCATTTTAGCAGCGCAGAAAAGAGCAACCAGTTTAAACATGTTTTTGTGGTCAAAGGTTCACAGGCCTTCTCTGCCTGTTCCAAATAATGTGAGAGGAGCAGAACAGTAGGAGTTAAAGAGAACAAACATATATATAATAAACGTATTAACAATCATGATTATTAGTGAATAACCCACAGCTACACTGAAGTAATTGATTTAAAAAATGTAATTGCTCGACAGCCCTGGAAAAAAACCTATCTCTTTTGAACACATACTTTGTTGTTGTTGACAGTGAAGTCATCACTGGACCTGATTAGAATAGAATAGTCTTTATTGTCATCATGTCAGGTTAAATTAGGTGAGAGGACAAGTTAAAACAACATTTTGTGAGGGGTCCAAAGTACTATTTGAAGTAGCCACAGAATTAATATTTACTTTGTCTAAGTCATTGCCTAGCAAAATATGCCTTTTATGAATAATGTTTTTATATCCATATATTTCATTTTGAGGTGCTTCCAAGTTCACATTTCCCCTGTTGGATTGCACCTAAATGAAAATCAGATATTTCCCCCCTGTTATGTTTATATTCCTAACTATGTGCTACAATCTTACAATTAAATGTGAAGTCAATGGAATAGACAGCCAAACTTGCACGTTGACTTGGGTGGCAATTTCCTGCCGTGCTGTTGTTCCGTCAGATTTGTACACCTGTTGTTCAATACTTTTCTGATGGGTGAATTTTATGTATCGGATTGTTATACCTACAGTATTACTGTTAAACACCTACCATTTAGGAGGAATAGATTACTGCAGTAATGTACCCAGACTACAATACATTAATTTTAAGTCATCTTTAATTTTGTAGGCCATCAGATAAAGACAGGCAACCAACTACTCCAATCTGGACTGGAATACAATTCTCTAGCTACTTCATATTTCCACGTCTACATTCCAAAATCATGCAGATTGATTGGATGTTCAAAGTCGATCATTGGTGTGAATGCAAGTGTGAATAGTTGTTTGTCTCCATATATGGTCCTGTGTTTGACTGGTTAACTGGTTGCCCGCTTTTGCCTGATGGCTGCTGGGATTGACCCCAGTTTGCCCAGAGACCCTGGAAAGTAGGGATGGCTTCAGACAGATACTGGTTACATTTGAATGAAAATCAGAAAAGCCCAAATGCAGAACTGATCTTTGTGCATCATGACATACACAGGCACACTGCCCTCCGCATACTGGAGGACAAATATTAAATATAATTATTATTAATAATTTGAACTATTTTCATCCCATATTTGGGAAATTCTAGTGTTAGCAGCAGATATGCTGTTAACAGGCTGCCCCCAGCAGGTGCCAAGCATGTGGTTCCCCTGGGAATCCAACCCAGGACTCTCTTCTCTCTGCTTCCAAGTCAAATAAGGGTATTGATATCGGTATCAGCAAATACTCAAAGTTTCAGTATCGGACCTGAGAAGGTTGTTTCGAGCCATCCCTGCTGAAAATGATTGTGAAAGATAAGACGTATTTACAATTCAACGTTTTATATCTCCAAGTCCATCACCTTTGTAAAAACAGTACATAAATTAACGCTCAAGTAAATGTAATAAAATAAGTTGCATGCACATGTGTAGCATTTAGCTCTTTGGAAAAGAAAGCTATTTCGCTGTTTGAAATAACCCTACTGTGGAGTCACTGGGTCCTAGAAAATGCATGACTGTGTTCTGTTCAGTTGAATATTTGACTGTTTTTGTGACTCTTCACTGCCGACCTCTGATTCATGGTTAAACTCTAGTGTAGCATGTTAAGAACTCTTAAGGCAAAGTTCAGTTGTCAGTTGTTCAATGACATATTAATGTAAATGGATGGTGAACACAAACACTAACACTTTTAAACTATCATCGGGATGAAAGTGGTACTGACTTTTGTCCTTGACATTTTTACCAAATTATCACTGCTGTGGCGTAGTAGATTATACTACACTACAGTTAGAGGTGCTGTACGTCCCTAATCATTCCTAATTCATACATGATGTCATTGATGTCTGATGTCAATTTATAAAGAAATAAGTAGAAAATAATCGTTGCCGAATTTCACAACTTGAATAGCTTTGGTTAACGTGGAAGTACATTTTTCAATCAAATTAGAAAAACAACAGTATCAGGAGTACAAACACTAGTTTGGGTTATTGTTTTATTTATTAATTTTTTTACACATTTTGAAAAATTTGCAAATGACATTACCACTCGTGAGAAAAGTTGAGTTCATACACATTCACTCCCAGGTAAACACAAAAAAGGTGATTTGTAATGATTTGTCAGGAGTGGCTCTGTCACTGCTGGTCTGACAGTTATGTTTAGGTAAATGCTGGTTCTTTTTAATCAGTGCATGTCTACTGGTCCTGTGCCTTTAGAGCCCACACTACTGTAGATAGACCTGTGCATTTCTTATACTAAGCTTTCATCACTGAGCGCTTTTGGGTTTTATGATAATGTTACTGCAGTTTGTCTGTTCTCTGTTTTAGTGTCGAGACATTTCTCTATACTTGTGTAATTTCTACCTTTTGTGTATGAAGCTAGAACAGTCTCAAAAAGAATAAAAACACAAACAAGGATTCACACTTTAGAAATTTACAAATGCATTTGGAATATTTACAACTGTATTTTGAAAAATTACAAATGTATGCATCTGAAGATATTTGTTAGGTTCATAAAATACATTTGTGAATTGTCTAACGCATTTATAACGTGCTTTTAATTTGTAAATCTCCCTGCAGTTTTTCTGTGGATTTTTGAGACTCGTCTAGCGCATAAGCAGCCAATCAGATATCTCGTTCGTTTGCAGCCAATCACACGGCTGTATTCCCATGAGGGCCCTTGATCTACTGGTAGATACCAATGTACTTATTGGGCACCTGTGCCTTGACACAATTTCAGCATGACAACACACTCCACACTATTCACACCTAAAACAAAAAATGAATCTTAAAGAAGAATAAACAAAGTCATTTCCATATTCCTTTTGTTCAGTTAATTGTAAAAATGGCAAACACTTAATAAACAGCAGACGTTGGCTGATCAAACCATCACCACTGTTAAATTACCTTTCTTTTTATTGACAAGACAGACTACACAAATAGAACAGTAACAGGCCGCCCTCTGAGGGAAGAGAACCTCGCTGCAGAAAAATAAATGACATTTGTCCAGATCACAGTAGATACTGCAAAATAATGTAAATGTGGTGGAATCTGAGAGAAACCAAACGTCACATGATGCTCAGATAGAAGTCTACTGTATAGAACACAACGCAACAGTCCCCAAAATGCCTTAAAATGC